TGGGGAAATACTGTATATTATGCAGAGCAACGCCTAAAACACAGGGTGATATACAATTCATTTGGCTCATACAATTCCAAATGTTTCAAATTACAGTGAATTAAAATACTTGATTCACATACTTCAAAAGTTCATTTTCATTACTAAACTCACCTGTCACCGAAAAAGCCAAATCCATTACCATATCATGGTGCCAGTGTAGACATGTGTATGTGTATTTCTTATCATCATCAAAATTCCTCCTATTGGAGAAAACAAAAAATTTTAAATTTTACTAAAGTCCAAGTTAAAAAAATAATGGCATACCAAATATAGTGAACATAATATATACTCAAAATAATATATCCTATCAAGCTTATAGCTTTTAATGTGCAAAAAAAGTACACTTTCTATTTCTAACCAGAGTCACTTCTACAAATAGTCGGCCATCAAGCTGTCCTACTATTTAGACATTCCCTATTATCATTACTTTTTACTTAAAGGCTGACAAAAAATGTTCTTTCTCTTCAATAAAACGACTAAAGGCAAAATGCCATTTTTCACTCCCCCCAAAGCCCAAGGTTAGAAATCCTAAAATACTTAAGTTTATGCAATGAACACAGCAATTATGAGAAAGGGAGGGTACCAGCCAGGCCTGCTCTCCACTGCCTCAGGGGCTTGTCAGTGCTGTAGTTTTCCCTGGACCCAGACAGTCCTGTGCTGCAGGACTAATATAAAATAGTATATAAATGATCATCATGCTCTTCATGAGATAACTGACCAAAGACGAATTTTGCCATCCTTGTGACCAGTTGCTATGCAGTCTTCCTTTGGGTGACATGCTATACATGTAAAATTGTTCTTAGCATGTTTCTTATTTCTTGATGAGGATAAAATAAACCTAAAAGAAAAAATTTTTTGATTACTCAAGTCTCTCAATAAGTAGTGATATGGTTAAGTAAATCTTACCTTTGTCAACCAAAACTGGAGAACTCTCAGAAATCACTGAATATAAGAGCAAAATTTAAAAAAGGAATTGTGGGGCCGGCCAAGTGGCACGTTGGTTAAGAGCTGGCTTAGGACGCCAGAGGGCCCTGGTTCGGATCCCACATATGGGGGCCAGTGACACTGCCCTCTACAGCTAAGATGCTGAACAACAACTCGACCTGGAGCTGGGCTGCCGTGAGTCACCTGCGATGGCGTAGGCTGCAGCCCCTGCTGCAGTGGGTTGCCATGGGCTACCGTGTGTAGCCAGCAGCCAGCAGCTGCCCTGAGCAGCCGTCCAGAAGCCTGCGACTGATCTGCCTTGCCCAGGAAGAGTGCAATGATGGTGCCAACTTGGGCCAGTGAAGTGACGTTCTCCACAACTAGACTGAAGAACAAAAGGACAGCAACTTGTCTGTTCCCCTTCCCACTATTCCCCAGCGCTGTTCCCATCCCCCAATTCCCCAATAAAAATCTTTAAAAAGAAAAGAAATTGTGATCAAGAATTTTGTTTTATAAACGTTTATTAATACACAACGCAAACTTCATGTGACTAACATTCTACCATAACTTGTCTATCGAAGCCACTGACACTGAAATAAATACAAGACAGTCCTTTTAGTGGCTTTTTGCCTGGGCAAAGTTTGTTCAAATTTCTTGCTGGAGCGAAGTTTTAGCAAGAGATATGCATAAGCCTAAGAGATTATATCTGAGACAATTGGCTAATTAATGTGTCCAAAGCTGTCAGCATCCTCATTATACTGTAAAGAAAACCAAATGCTAATATCCACAGGGTAAAAGGGGGGCCAGTGTTATCTGAAGAGTGGCTACTCATGCCTAGCACTTGTCTCTTTATGTTATCTCATTCATCGTTGCAATTCTATTAGGAAGATACTATCCCCATTTAAAATATATGTTAATTTGAGGTGCATTGAAGTTCAAAGGGGCTAATTTTGACTCATTTTAAACCCAGGTATCCCAAAACCTATATTCTATCCTATAGCCATAACATGACAATGAGGATTACTTAGGGAAGCCTTTTCAAACCAAATCCAATTTGGGCACAAGTATGCACACCAGAATATAGGTGTACAAGGACGTTTGGGCTAGAAAAATCTCCCCGGGTTTTTGTGACTAATGATCCCTCAATCCTACCATTGTGAATTAAAAACTGGAATCTAAACAACAAAATAAACAAACGAACGAAACAGAAACAAACCCACAGATACAGAGGACAAACTGATGGTTGCCAGATGGGTGAAAAAGGTGAAGGAATTGAGAAGTATAAATTGGTAGTTACAAAATAGTCATGAGGATGCAAATTACAGTATAGAGAATTAAGTCAATAATATTGTGGTAACTATTTATGATGCCAGGTGGCTACTAGACTTACTAGGGTGATCACTTTGTAAGTTATATAAATGTCTAACCACTATGATATACACCTGAAACTAATATAATATTGAATGTCTACTGTAATTGAAAAATAATGTGACAAATAGTATATTTGTCTTATAAGGCCATGTCATAGATCAAATGAAGAAAATATATGTAAAAGTCTTGCCATAAGCCATGAAGTTAAACACAAAATATAGTATTATAATAGCTGACATTTATTAAATGTTATTAGGTTATCAGACCAAAACAACAAAACTACCTATCTTGTGGTTTACAAAAATTTGTAACATGAAACTAGTAACAGATTTGGATCACAGGTATGAGAATGAAATGAAATTATAACAAACTCTTGAGTAAATAAAATAAAGCTATCAAAAAGGAATTCTTACCTTGATGTTTTTTTCTTTTTGAAAAAATAAACAGATAAGTAAAAGTCCCGTATTGCAGCAACGTATTCTCCCTGGTATTTCAAAGAGAATGTAACATTAACAAAAATAGTCAACACTCTTTATGAAGAAATATTCTTATCACAAAAGTTAATATAGCAAAATGGCAGAGTACATAAACGCTGTGCTTCCTCTTCCCATGACCATCTCAAAACTTCAGCTCAACTAGAGACAGCCATCACTGAGAATCGCCGGAAGTCTGGTTGAACAGCAGTCCTATAATTAAGGATATACGGAAGAAGCCACCTCAAGACTGGTAGGAGGGCAGAGATGTGGAAGAGGCTGGTCCCACACTCATGTATGGGAAGTTAAAAATTGGAAGGGATATGTGGGCTGTGGAGGTCTCCCAAGGAGCAGGCTCCCAGCCCAGGGTTCCAGTACAGGGGAGAGAAGTCCCAGGAGTTTCTCATAAAGGACCTGTGGACGGACTTACTGGTTGACAGACCTACTTGCTCTGAGCTCCAACACTGGGGCAGCAGCTCGAAAAACTCTAGGGACATACGGGGAGGAACTGAACTGTCTGGCTTTAGGGCAAGGACTGGAGGGGCAGCTTTCTCAGAATGCTGGCAGAAGCCATTGTCCCTTTGTTGAGCCCGCCCCTTATCCAGCCTGCATGTGCAGGCAGGAGCCACATGTGAGTCTCTACTGACCTAGCTAACACCTTTTGCCCTGCCCTGGTGATTCCCTGAGACCCCTCTCCACTCAACTTGTGGGCCCACCCAGACCTCTGGGACAACATCAAGCGTAACAACATTCACATCACTGGGGTACAAGAAGAAGAGAGAGAGAGCAAGTAATTGAAATCCAATTTGAGGAAATAATGATGGAAAACTTCCCTAACCTGGTGACGGAAATAAGACATACAAGCCCAGAAAGTTCAGTGAGTTCCAAACAAGATAAACCCAAACAGGTCCACACCAAGACATATTATAAATAAATTGGCAAAGGTTAAAGAAGAGAATCCTAAAACCATCAGGAGAAAGCAGTTAGTTACCTACAAGGGAGCTCCCATAAGACTGTCAGCTGATTTCTCAACAGAAATTTTGCAGGCCAGAAAGGACTGGCAAGAAACATTCAAAGTGATGAAAAGCAAGGACCTACAACTAAGATTACTCTACCTAGAAAAGCTATCCTTTAGAATCGAAGGACAGATAAATAGCTTCCCAAACAAGAAAAAGCTAAATAAGTTCATCACTAACAAACCAGTATTAAGGAAATGTTTGGGCCGGCCAAGTGGCTCAGCTGGTTAAGAGTTGGTTTGGGAGTGTGAGCGCTGAGCAGCAGGGCCGCTGATTCGGTTCCCACATGGGCCAGTGACGCTGCGCCCTCTACAGCTAAGATTTTGAACAACAGCTCAACCTGGAGCTGGGCTGCTGTGAGTGGCTGGCGACAGTGTAGGATGCAGTGGGCTGCTGTGAGCTACGTTGAGTGGCGGGCAGCCAGTGTGAGAGGCCAGCAGCTCGTGAGAGCCACCATAAGTGGCCGTCCAATGGCCGAAGACCTATCTGCTTCACCCGGGAAGAGCGCAATGATAATACCAACATGGGCCAGTGAAGTGACATCCTCCACAACCAGACTGAAGAACAAAAGGACAGCAACTTGTCTGTTCCCCTCCCCTGATTCCCCAAAATCCTAAAAAAAAAAGAAATGTTTAAGGGACATCTTTAAGAAGAAAAAAAAAAAGGTTAAAAATAAAAATATTAAAATGGCAATAACTACATATCTATCAATAATTACTTTAAAATGTAAATGGATTCAATACTCCAAACAAAAGACATAGGGTAGCTGAATGGATAAGAAAACAAACCCATTACATATGCTGCCTACAAGAGATTCACTTCAGATCAAAAGACACACACAGACTGAAAGTAAGGGGATGGAAAAAGATTTTCAGGAGAATGGAAACAACAAAAAAAGCAAGTGTGGCAATATTTATACCAAACAAAATGGACTTTAAAATAAAGGCTCTAACAAAAGACAAAGAAGGACCCAGTGTTCCACTTCTGGGTATTTATCCAAAGAAACCCAAAATGCTAATTTGAAAAGACATATACATCTATATGTTCTCTGCAGCATTATTTACAATAGTCAAGATATGGAAGCAACCTGTGTCCATCAAAAGATGAATAAATAGTACATATATACAATGAAATATTACTCAGCCATAAAAAAAGAATAAAATCTTGCCATCTGCAACAACATGGATGGATCTAGAGGGTATTATGCTAAGTGAAATAAGTCAAAGAAGGACAAATACAGTATGATTTCACTTATATATGAAATCTAAAAAATGAACAAACAAAACAAACAAACTTATAGATACAGAGAACATCTTGATGGTTGCCAGATGGGAGTGGGGTTAGGGGATGGGTGAAAAAGGAGAAGAAATTAAGAAGTACAAATTGGTAGATATAAAGTATAGCATTGGGAATATAGTCAATAATATTGTAATAACTATGTATGGTGTCAGATAAGACACTAGATTTATCAGGGTGATCACTTTGTAAGTTCTATAAGTGTCTAGTCACTATGTTGTACACCTGAAACTAATAATATTGTATGTCAACTATAATTGAAAAAAAAAATTTTTTGAAATGTTCCAAGGGGGTAAAAAAATAATATATATATCTATATATCTATATCTATCTATATCTATATCTATATATATGTATATATATGGGGAGGAAAAAAAGTTAATATAGAAACTAAATTTTTTGCAGATTAAGATTATATTAATATAAAATATTATAGTGTAGCTATGGAAAGTAAAATCCTACTTTTAAAATAATCATAGAAAATTAAAAGATGAACTTAGGTTCTAAAGTCTAAAACTAGGCTGTCTAACTTTGTCATTCTTAAATTTTAGCTGTTCTAGTAAATATAAAGTGGTTTCTCACTGATTTTAATTTGCATTTAACTGATAACTATAAGGCTGAAGAATGATATCATAATGTCAAAGAGTTTTTCCTACTCTAAGAAATTAACCCTGAATTTTCAGAACAAAGCCAAAATAATGCTACAAAACTAAAGAAATGTATCACCTCAATAATGTCTAAGGCCTTTTAGTGGTACCTGATTTTAATAAAGTGGTTATTAATAGGGGATGGCTAAATATACCATGCTATGAACATCACAGTCATTACTTCTGATGAACTTTTTTTTTTTTTTAAGCTGAGCCATCCTGCCACCTGTTGGCAGCTCAGCGGCTACTCAGCTCGGGCCAGGCATCGAACCGCTGTTGCTCAGAGCTCAAACTCTTGAGCGAGCTTTTAACCAACTGAGCCACAAGGCCAGCCCACTTCTGATGAACATTTAAGTACACACTCCTGCTGCCATGTTAGGTGGAAAAAAAGGATAAAAAGATCTGCAGACACTAATGCAATTTGGGAAAAGTTATTTTATATATGTTTAGGAAAAAGTCTAGGAAAGATTCCTCAAACATTATCACTGGTGAGATTTAATTCCTTCACTATATTTTTGTACAATTTCAAAATTTTCTGTTAACAGGCATATTATAGACAGGGAGGTCATATTTTCCAAGACACATAATCTACAATGAAAAGATTTAAGTACATGGGACAGACTAAGAAATACAGTACAAATGGCAAAACACTCATATGTTTTAGACAATTAGAGTGCTTACAAGAGCAATAAGGCAGAATATACAAAATTAAGGTCCTAAAAATTTAACTATAAATACATACTAAGCAATGACACAGGCTTTTAGTTACTAACAAAAATACCGTAACTCAAGGCAATATTAAATCACTAACATAAAATGCTCAGAGCAAAGATTGCAGGAAAGCAATTTTATGTATAAAAAAGAAAATCAACAAAACAAAATTTTACCTCATTTCCAAAGGCAATGCACTTGTGTGACTGGTTTATGTAATCCAAAACAAAGGATAGTTCCTCAGCTTCTATTTCCTGGCTTGATGATTTTGGCAGTTTCACCGAAACCAGCTGAAATATATCTAGCCAAAGGAAGCTATGTTAATATAAAGCTTCTCTAGAGAAAGTGAAAATGTGCATTCATTCATATAAAACTGTTAACCAGTACTCTAGAATTCATTTGATGCCAAGATAAGAATTCTAGGCTATCTTAAACAAAATGAACCTTAAACTTGGACTCTTTGTTTGAATATACGAGTTTTAAATTGAAGTCTAATGCCATAACTCATATACATACATGCTTCATATATGTAGAAATAGAAAACAATGTTTTACTGGTGCATTCTACATTCTGAAGTACTTAAGGTGACATTTAAAATGGAGATAGAATGTGATATATTGGTCAAATGAACAGCCAAAAGCAACAAACCATCTGAGAATTTCTAGAAATGCTATGTATGGGCTTGCCATACATTCACATTATAGAATAAACCTCCTTTTCTGTAATATTGACATGCTTCTTTTCTTTGTAGCCCATTTAAAAAATTTCTCCCTGAGGGGAAACTGCTATTTTACTATGCTCTCTCTTTATCCACCTACAGTTAACGAATGTAAAATTCTGTAACACACTTATCTTCCATTTTCCTGTTTTCCAGCCTGCTTATTATCTGCCCTGAACTCGATTGCTCTAGCCTTCTCAGTCATCTCAAATTTTACAAGCCTAAACCCTGAACTCTCAATTTTCCTTTCTAACCTTAAGTCTTCCCCCACATTGACCATTGTAGGAAATGGCACCATCATTTACGCAGTTGCTTAGGCTAAATCCTCGAATCATCTTTGACTTCTTTCTCATACGCACATCAAACCATCAGCAAACTCTGTTGGCCATATCTTCAAAAGATATCCAGAATTCATTTCTCACTACTTCTGCCATTATAACCACCTAGTCTAAAGCCATGATTATGTGTCAGATCCTAAGTGTTTGGAGCAATGACCTGTTAACAGTTCTTCCTTCCAACCTTGTCGCCCTTTCATCTATTCTCAACACAGAAGCTAAGTCAGATAATGTCATTCTTCAGCTCAAAATCCTTCAGTGGCTTTTTATCTACTCAGAATAAAAGTTAAAGTCCTTGCAATGGCCTACAAGGCCCTATATTATATATTCTCCCTTGGCTAATTCCAACCCAACTTCCCTGCTATCCTAACATTCAAACATGTTAGGAATGCTCTAAAATAGGCTTGTCCAGTATAGCTGCATAGCTTCTTCTCCTCCCCGGACCTTCACTGACCGCTTATTTAATATGTATTCCTCCAACGTTGCTGATTACCCCCCCGCTGTATTTTCCTCTAGAAAACCTTTCATCTTAGAGTGTCATATGACTGATCTAGTCAGCTTACTGTTGGGCTTTACTGTCTGTTTTGTATACCACATCCAGAATAATATTTGAACAGGTGTTCAATTAGCTGTTGAATGAATTAATTACATACAATCAAATGACATCATAAAAGATAATGTGTAAATAAAAGGTTTATTTTTAAACCAGAGAGGCATATTTCAATATGATTTATATACTTTTCTATCAGATACTCTGGTTTTGAACTGTTGAACAGAGATGAAACAAATGAAAAAAGGGTATATATTTATATATAGTTGACTCTTGAACAATGTGGGGTTGAGAGGTGCTGACCCCCTGAGCAGTTGAAAGTCCATGTGTAACTTTTGACTCCCCCAAAACTTAACTACTAATAGCCTACTGTTGACCAGAAGCCTAATCAAAAACAATTGATCGACACATATTTAATATGTTGCATGTATTATATACTGTATTCTTACAATAAAGCTAGAGAGAAGAAACTATTAAGAAAATCATAATGAAATGAAACATTTACAATATTCATTGAGAAAAACAACAAAAAACATATAAGTGAACCCATATAGTTCAAACCTGCGTTGTTCAAGGGTCAACTATATTTTGAGAAACCAGTCACATGGAATCTTTTAAAGACTGATTCACATTTTTACGTAACAGATAACTAGATTTTCACATGCTGAATGCCAATGATGTCCCAAAGTACTGGACACTAGCACCAGCCTCCACTGTGAATAGAATTCAGTTGTAGATCATAGCACTTGAAGTTGTCTCAGTTAACTTCAAAAGGCTAATGACCAAGGTCTTTACTTTAGATCAGTAGTTTGCTATCCTGGCTTATACATTAGACTCAGCTGGGGAATATTATATTTAAGTAAACAATTAGGCCCCACCACAGGGAATCTTATATTTAAGGTTCCCTGGGGTGATTCCAACGTGCAACCAGTGTTAGGAACCACTGGTCTCACTGACAGGGGAAAAACATTTTGTTTCTGCTACTGGCAACTACCCTTCCAATTGAGGAATCGGGTGAATCTGAAGAGTGCTTACCAAATGTGAGTGATGACAGAATCATCTAGGGAGATACTAAAAATGCAGATCCCTAGACTAAATCTCCTAGACCTAGGGAATCAATTGTCAGTCAAGGAGATCTGAATTTTTAATAAGGATGTGGATAAACACTGAAAATCCACATATTTATATACAAAATAGAACCTAAATATTGAAGACAATTATCTTTAAAGTAGTTGTCTGGGAAGGCAACTTAATTGTTTTAGAATGCTGCCATTTCCAGAACATTTTTTTGCAATGTCCTTTAGAGACGGCTTATGGGCTATGTAAGAAAAACTAAACTTACTGCTTTTTATTCTTACATGTCACACTTTTGACAGATAAAATATGATTCATTAACAGACTTGGCACCAAATGACTCTTACCTAAAAATATTTAACTTTCAGTTTTGACTATTCTCAGGTTACCTAAAACTCCATGATACAGAAGTCTGCAAATGTTCTAGCCCCAAATAAACAAACAAAAAACCCCCATAAAACAAAAATACAACACCCTGAAAAGGATTTACCTAGCGAATCAGCCATGAGCCCATCTAACTGACTGCCCAGTAACCATCTTAAAGCTGCTTTGTACTTTGAATTCTGACTACAACAATATTTTATGAAGGACACCACAGGTTACAGTGGCATTCTTGAATTTCTTGAATTTTGAGATCAGAAAAATTCTTTGGATATATCCTTCGTGTCTATGTTCTGATGTACTAAATTCTCTGTTAAAGAACAATTATTTGTAACCACTGAAGATATTCTAGGAATTCCTAAAACGCTCTGAAACATGGCAGTTTCAATTGATTAATGATCCAGTCAGTGATAATGAAAATTAACTAAGAATAATTTAGTCACACTATTAGTTCTTAATATCAACCTGTTTTCTATACGTACAAATTTTGAATTTCCTACAAATTCAAGATCAACAAATAGGGGTATCCAATGGTGGGTAAAATGACAATGATGCTTAAGGATGAAAGATTGAAGTTCAGTAGGAAGACAAGTTCTAGCTCAAAACAGCTTTAAAATTTGAGCTCTGTAGTCTATTATTACAACCATATATAAAGCAATCATTCCCTCATTGTGTATTTCAGAAATGATACAAGCCTCCCCAAAATGAATGCAATAATGACAAAAACAATGTAAATGCCAACTCCAAAAACAGTTACGTTCACACTAAAACCAAAATATTAAATTTGAGAAAATGTAAAGAGCCATTCAATGCTATATAAAACGATATAAGTTAATTACACTATACCTGGTTTTTCTTTATTTATTATAACAAAGACACAATCCTCAGCATGGGCATGAGTAAAGAGGGCATGAAGTTTATGTCCAACTATGAAAGTCTGAAAGATAAAAAGTTCCATATTGTTAATTGTCTATCTTCCTCATCCCTCCATCCCCTTTCCCCAAAACAAAAGTTCCATAAAGGGCAGGAATTTTTCATCCGTTTTGCTCACTGGTGTACCCCAAGTATCAGAAGTGTACCTGGCTTACAGAAGACACTCAACACATATTTGTTAAATAACCTTTCAAGTTAATACAAATAGAACTACTTGTTTCTTTTTAATGGTTGTATTCTATTGAATGAATATCAAATTTTAACTGACATCAAGGTTATATTCAATTTTTTTCCCTACCATAACCAATGTTTTAAGGACTACATATACATGCTATTATTAAAGAGATTTTTAAAGGTAAGACTGCTGGAGCAAAGGTATTTATTCATTTTCGTTTTACTCTCATTGATTGTGTACAAAAGTATTTGTTTCTGTACACTTTACCCAGCACTAGAGTTTTTTCTACAATCTGCAATTTGGCTAAACTGATAGGGGAAAATGCTTGGTCATGTTTTAATTTACATTTCTTTAATTATTAATGAGGTTATGCACCTCTTCATGTTTATTGGTAATATCTCTTGTAAATATTTTCTTCCAGTTTTATTGCTCATCTTGTTTTAAGTTTAAAATTTTTATATAGTCAAATTTATCTTTTCTTTCATGGTGTGTGAATCTCACGACTTGTTTAAGAAGGGTATCTAACACTCAGGCCTTATAGGAGGAAATAGTATGTCTGTCATTAAGTTATGTTGCCCTTCTTTTTCACATAATGAAAACAGAAGATTAATCCACATACCTTTATCAAAATGCCATCTATATAGTCCCACAGTTTAATTGTGCCATCCAAGGAACAAGAATACAGCTAAAATGGTAAAAATAGTACAAGATTAAAAAACAGAACTCCACTAAGATACCAAATGAATTAAGCGGTAATACAGAAGTGTTTTGTTCATTAATTCATTGCTAGCTTTAAAGAAGTAGAGTCATTTATATTGTTTTTGCAAAGCTTATATTATCTGTAACAATCTTCTCACACAACTCTTTGGAGGAAGCAGATCTACCAATTTCAAGTTTTAATTAAAATGAGAGGAAAAATGTCAACCCTTTTTCTTCAAGAGGGAGATGGTAAGATTTTGAGTTATGAAAAGCACTTGAGAGCTTGTTGCTATTTTCCTGGAGCCCAGTTCTTTTGTATTAGCAGAACTGCTTTCATCTTACATGGATATTAAGGGAGTGTTTCTCAAATAAGCTGACAATGTTGTTGTTGTTGTTGTTTTTTAAATTTCCAACCCATCAAGGACAAATACATTTGTCAAATACAACAAAAGTTATTATGTACTTGGATGCTGTGTCAATGTCAAAGTGCTCTAAAGTTTTATCATACTCAATTTCTATACTCATCTCATTGCGGACCGGCAACAAACTGTTTGGGGCACTGGTCTGTGGACCGTACCTGGTAGCACCAAAAGGCCTTACTATGATGTATTTTTATTTTTGTCCCAGTGGACACTGGATTTTTGCTGCTGTTACTATGAAAACACTTTGCTTATAATGTTTATAAAAATTTTTAAGTTTTTTAAAAGACAGTGGCAATTTAAAGATTTCTGAACATGAAGATAAAGAATCAAAGAATAGAAATAAAAAATGAAGAAAATATTATCAAGTATAAGAATTATATTAAGAAAATACACATCACAGTTACTGTGTATAAAAATCATGAACATGGACTAGTAAAATAAGACAAATATTTAATCAGTGTCAAAACAATAGTTAATACACAAATACTGTGACTCCAAAGTCCACAGAATCTCTGGAACATAGCCTTCACCTCAACCAAACCTGTTGTCAACTGTCCTCTGATTTTATTATCTTTCAGTTCCATGAAATAGACCTTTTACGCAATGTGTATATAGTTTTTCATTTTGCTATGAAACTTAGTAATATAAACTTTACAAATTCCAATTTTAACAAAGGATATTTCTGCCACAAAAACATCCAATGTTACACATAACAATCAACTGTTACCTGAAACCCTCAGAGGAGAGCAAGGATATGTGTACTTGAACTCTGCAGGAAAACTGTTTAACTTTGATTTTCAAAAGTAGTTCATGTAGTTTTGGAAAAGTCAGTGTCCCTTTATGCCTACTTCCTTTGTAATAACACATTGAATGGCAATGCAAATCCATTCTTAAATCAAGCAATAACTTCGAAGTTGGCTGTGACTAATCCAGAAAAGCAGAACTTAATAAAAAACTAAAGCAAGAGCAAAGTATTCTGACAGCTCATTCGGAACTTTGCTGAAACTTATGAACAGAATCAAAATGACCATTTCACTGTTCTTGAATTCTGAGAAGAAAGGGCTGCGTTTTGGAGGGAGTGGGGAGGTCCAGATTGAACTGGATTCCCAAGTTTGTCCTAAAATTAAGTGGTCGATCCACTGAATAAAGAAACCCTTGTTCTTGTCTACATGCTGGCCTTAAGATAATTTATGCATTGACACTGAAGAGCCACATCTCTAAAGGAACAGATCTACAAAATCAATACCCTTCAGCCAACATTTTAAAAATGTGTCAGAAACCAGAGTTCAGAGGTCAAATAAGTTTGAGAAATATCAAATACTACATGCCCCTTTTGGATATTCACAATGCATATAAAGGGTCCTTAGAAGACCTACAATCACCTACAATCAAGAAATTCACTTAACTGTGTGCCAAACCCTGAATTTCAGAAACTCACACAGCCAAGAAGCTTTATGGGCAATGTAGTTCTGGGCTCCGGCCCTATTTTAATAATTAAAAATAAGTTAAAAATATCCTGAATCAGAAATCAGAAAAATCAACACAGATATTTCCCTGATCATGACCTGGAAAGTTCCTCCCAAATTTAATTCAAGTTTTTCAGGTAACAACAAAGCCAATATTAAAATATTCAATTATAAGTCATTTGATACCTGAAGATGGTTATTGGGGTTGAGCTGAATTCCTGTCACCAGATTTCTGTGCCCTTGCAATATGTGTACACATTCTTCTGTAGCTGTGCTATAAACTTTAACAAAGTCTCCAGAGACACAGAAGATATATCTGGAAATAAGAGAGAATAAGAGAGAAAAATAAGTTTCACATACACTATGGACAGTATAATTTCTTACTGTCCATTAAAAAAATTTAACATGTAACAGATTTCTTTTAAAACAATATTTTAAAAACTGTGTATTCAAATTTGTGTGCTGTTTAAGTCCATGGGGTCATCTAAGACTGATTAGTTCATTAACTCTGAAAAGCAGATTAATGAGGCTAAATAAAGCACTATCTGTGATCGGTTCGATGGGCAGAGGCTGTACAGAATCATCCTGTAAGAACAGCCAATTTAACCAAGTTGTCTGCTCACTAATGGACACAGACATCGCTATGCATTCACTTGCTATGAGCTCTTACTCCTCAGTGATTCTGCTAATAGCAGCATCTTCCCGTGTCCTCCAAATCTCCATCGTTCACTTGGGGACACCAGTTTACAAACACTAAGCCAAAGATTCTCTAGTCAGTGAGGTCTCTTGCATAGCAAAGTAAAAACTTTATGAGTTAGTGTTACTAAACGGCTGGTTTTGCTTTTGTCTTTCTGGATTTGTGGTTTTCTTCCACATAGCAGAGGCTACTAAATTATTCAGAGTGGTTAAGTTGGAGTAATATTTGTTTGGCTCTTTTCATAATAAATATAACCACAGGACAAAGTTCAGAAATGCAAATCTTCTACTATAAATCAAATAAAAAATGTCTGTTGTGTGCCTATTACAATTAACACTGTACATGTCTAACTGTTTTTCCATACACTGTAGAAGGTACAAATCAGACTCCTTAGGCTGACCTCTTCTCTGTGCTCCCAAGGTACCTGGTGCATGACTTGATCTGGGTATTTTCATATTGTGTTGAAATTACTTGTTTACACCTATATCCATCTCCTGGATCTGGCCATAAGATTCTATAGAGCAGAGGACTTTTTTTTATCTTTGATTCCCAATGTCTAATCCAGTTTGTTGAACAGAACTTGCCTGAACCTCAAAGGTTTTATAAACTAGCCAGATAAAATGAACCAACCAACATTACAGATAGTAGAAGAGTAAATCTTCTCATGCTGACTGGGATCACTACTATTTTACCAATTCTAAGACACTTGATTTTTCCCATATTCAACTTTCTGAAATCAGGATGCGTCTTATAAGTGCTGTAGCTAAGAGGCAGTCATGGCACGGCTGTGTGCAACTGTCTATAAAGAGATCAAGGAAGTATGAGTAACAAAGCATCTGAGGTATATGGTCTCCCCTCCGGCTGGATCTTCCTCTCGGTTCCCACGGGTACCGTAGTTCAGTCTTGCCATCTCCAGGCTGGACCACTCTTAAGGACTTCTACAGTCTCCAGGCATGGCCCTTAAACTTATCTTCCATACTCACACTGATTTTGCAAATCTGACCATATCACTTCCTCAAATAAGGATAAACTGAAATCCTTCAATGTTTTCCCATTGCCTTCAGGATATGATCCAAGCTCGTAAGCCAAACTCATATGCCTTGTCTGAATGGAAATATGTTTATAACACTGTATCAAGGGGTTCACAACTCCACCAACCCTCTCTCCCCAAGACACACCCCATTAGTATCAACAAACAGGTCCTTTAGGCAGTGCTTCCCTTGGGATAATGGTGGGTGAAGGAGTACTGTTTGCTAAGACTCTCCCCCTCACTGCTTCTGTCTGATATGCTTCCCCATGGGGGGAAGAATTTCCTTTCTTTTTGCTCCTCAGCAGACAATAATGGCTTTGACTATTCGAATGCAAGCCCCCAAAGGAAACTCGCCATGCTTTTGCACATTCTGCCATCTACACCGAACACTTGCTCTAAGTCCTGAAGGTTCAGCTCAGGGGTCTTTCCACTGAGATGGACTAGGGGAGTGTGGAGAAACAGGCATCTTTAATCGTCCCGTAACGCCAAGTCACGCGTTTGTCCGAAAGTGGGGTGCTCCTCGTGGTACTGCAAGGGCAGTGGGGTATGCATCCGTGCCAGGGCCACTTTCTAGCCGCCCAACGCCGAGCCGACTCTAGACACGTGGGCCCCTCAATCTACCTGCCGGTAAACAATCCGCGGAGGGGGAGGGCGCCCTAGTCCACGGTGTCACGGCACGAAGGGGTTTCTAATTCTTCTTACAGCGCCCAGACACCAGCTCCCGCGCGCGCGCCCCGGGGTCTCCCGCACGCGCGCCCCTTCCTGGAGCCCAGGTTCGCCCGCTGGCGGGTCTGGACGCACCTGACAGCTGGATCCCCGCGCCCCACCCCCAACCCCCCCGGGATTCACGCCCCTCAGTCCCGACGACAAAGCGCAGTGCCCCATACTTAGAATCCGCAGAGAACACCGCTCTCCTAAAATTCAACTCGCTGCCGCCACAGCGAACCACGCGGAGACTCTCCTCCTCCACCATCTTCGCGCAGACGCAGGAACGCCCGATGGCGGCCCCGCCCCGAGCTTCCTTAACGGAGGCCGCTTGATGGGACGTGTGTCCCAGCCCACCGAAGCCACGCAGGGGCTCCTCTAGGCCGGAGTCTCTATGGTAGGACCCAGCGCCTGCGCAGCCATCTTTAGTGTGGGCAACGTCACATTAGCTCCCGTAAAAAATGAAAAACGAAATAGAGACATCGAGGCAATGAATTTATGTCTTGTACCTCTAAACTCTTGTTTAGTACAGATAAATTTTCTCCGGCCTTGTCAATCTAACTCTACGGCTTATTTCAGAAGAAAGAAAGGTGGTCCCAAACCTGTCACGTGACCGCCAGTCACCTCCTTTTCCTCCCCCTTCACCCCTCGCTTCCCCGCCGCCTTTCTTTTCTCGTCACTATGATTCGGGCGCTGCGAGGTGACGCCAGTGTCTCGTTTCAACCGGTGTCTCGGAGGCGCAATTGAGTTCTTGGTTGGAAAAGTAGCATTCTACTTTTTGCACAGTTATTTGCTCCTCTCGTTAGCCGTCACTTTGCCCTGTTCCTTTGAGCGTAGCATACATTCCTACTCGTACGCGTCACTTCTTGATGTATTGAACTTGACCACATCCTTTCAGTCTTTCTGGAAGCAAATAACTGAGGACCTTTTATATGTGAGGCAATGCGAGACAGACGGAATCCCTGTCCTGTTGCCTTCCATGGGCGAGAGATGATAAAAAGGTCTAACAAACAAAATAATCACAGATTGTGTGCGAAAGGAAATAAAACAGTAATATGAGAACAGGTTGCTCTGAGGAATTTTAGGTTTAACCTGGTGAATATGTATTTGTTAAAGTTGTGCAGGTTAAAAAATGATATTTTAAACATTCAACGTTAATGTACATTTTATGTAAAATAATTCAATACAAAAATAGAATTAGAATGGTCCCAGTCTATCCTACGCCCCATGAGTATCTCTCCACCATTAAGTTTGGTGTATATGCTTCCTGATACGTTTCTGGATATACATGCACCTTAACATTATTCTTCAATGCAATGCACTACATTTTCTTCCCCACCATATAAAGCATGTATATTCAAATTTTATCTCATTTTTAATGAGTACATAGTATTTCATAGAGTAAATGTGCCACGATTGATTAAATCATTTTTCTCAAAGCTGAATATTTAGTCATTTACATTTTTAAAAAAGTGGCAAATAGTGCTACAGGACACATAAATTTGTGTCTGTATTGCTGTAGGAGAGATTCCTAGAATCGGTATTAACAAAGTTGAAGGATGTCAGCACTTTGAATTTTGAGTGAATGTTTTGTGGAATTGAGACATGTTCCTGGGAAAACCAGGAGGAATAACTAATGGCAGTCAAAAAAGGGAAACTTTTTTTTTTTAATCTGAAGGTTGGGGAAAATCTGTAAGGAGAGAGTGTTATAAGAGAATATGATTTTTAAAGAAGAAATTAGGAGGAAAAAGGACTAATGAAATGATGTAAGGCAAGCAAAATTGCTTATAAATACTGCTCCATGAGCAATAATTCAAAGATAGCAAGGGCTGGGCAGCCCATTGTTTAATATTTAGATTGTAATGTGGAGTTTCACTTTGTCAAGAATTGTTAAGTATGATGAATTATGCTTCTTAAGCCTAATATTTCCTTTCATATATTGACATTTGTATATCATACATTAGTTTGACCCTCAAGCACCAAAGCACAAGAGAAATTTTCTGAAGTGTTTGGAGGATTAGAAAGAATATAATACTGAAGACAATAGAAGGTGGCTAGATACCCTCTGCATGTGGTGCTAAACTGTCAGATACTTCCCTAGGCATTTCACAGAAAAGAGCAATGGAAGTTTGGTTTATTTGTTGAGAAAGGAAGCAAAGCATCTATGACAGGTTCCTGGTTCTGTCTAGCTCTCCTTTTTTCTTTCTGAGTCCTCACGAAAATCATCTTTAAAAATCCCTTCATGGCAATATTGACTTTTTCTAGCGCACACCTTAAACTCTTACAGCCTCTACCCTTATCCAGTTCCAAAGCTGCTCCCACATTACTAGGTATTTGTTCGTTACAGCAGCATCCCACTCTCAGTACCAAAATCTTTATTACTCAGGGCTCTCTGGAAACACAGAACCAGTAGTGTTTATTTATTTATTAAGAGGAATTGGTATATTCAGTTATGGAGGCTGAAAATCCCACAATCTGCAGTCTGCACATTAGACACCCTGGGAAGCAGATGTGGTGTAATTCATTCTGAATCTTGTTGCAGAATCACCTCCCAAAATTCATGTTCATGTGCCTGGTGTGCTAATTAACCAAAACATTGAGACACCGGTGCTTGGAGATAGAAAAGTTTATTTGACTTGGCCAAAACAAGAGGATGGGGGAGCAAAATCTCTCAAATCTGCCTCTCCCTCAGAAAAACAAAAGTAGGGAGCTTTTATGCAGCTAGGCAGTTCCAGGGAACTGACAGAAAGGTCAATGTTTCTTGAGTCATAGATGATGCTTTTTCATTTCAGACTCCTGGGCATCAGCAGCTGGTCACAGCTACCTTGAAGACATTTTCTCCTTCCTCAAAACAAACTCAAATTCTCCTCTAGGCCCTGAAGTTGTCTCTTTCTGCTTGACAAAGAGACATCACATCAGCAACACAAAATTATATTGTGAGAACAAGGGGTGCTGGGCTGAAGAACTAAGATTCTGCAAAATATCTCATATTTGTGTGTCAGTGACATTATCTATACAGCAAAAGGCAGAAATTAGACATCTTATGACTATTGCCATTGTTTAAGCTATCATTGTTTTGTGTTTAACTCACTATGTTTTTTCCATGATCTCAAGCAGAGTGTACTTTTAATTTTAAACAGTTCTGGAACTTGCTTTACAGGCCGTCCTTCAGAACATGACTAACATACATTCTTAATTTTTCACTGTAAGTTTTGTGACAACCAAAGCAATCGAAACATTTAGCTAAGGCCTATACCTATATCCTAATTAAGAATTAAAATATTGAATTCTAACTGCCAGAAATACTAGGGCCATTAAAATCACAAGGGGCTTGGCTACAGTCTGAAGGCCTGAGAACCAGAGGAGCTGCTAGTGTAAATACATTCTAAGTGAAGAAGACAGATGTACCAGCTCAGCAGTCAGGTAGAGAAGGAATGAATTCTGCATTCCTCCTCCTCCTTGTTCTATTCAGACCCTTAAGGGGCTCTGAATGATGCACACCCACAATGGGGAGGGCAATCTGCTTTATGGAGGAGGCCACAGATTCAAATGCTAATCTTATCCAGAAATACCCTCACAGACAAACCTAGAAATAGTGTTTAGCTAAATATCTGGGCACTTTGTGACCCAGTTAAGATGATATATAAAATAACCACCATGCCAGGTAACCACTGATCTATTCTCTGCTTTTACAGAACGTTTTCCAGAAAATCATTTAAAATGATACATAGTTCGTAACCTTTAGAGTCTAGCTTCTTCCACTTAGCATAATGCACTTGAGATTCATGTTGTGTTGATCAATGGTTTCCTTGTTCTTGTGGTTTTTTTATTGCTGAATGGTAGTCTATTGTATCGATAATCCACAGTTTGTTTATCCATTCTTTTGTTGAAGGAAGTTTGTTTTTTTCCTGTTTTGGAAATTACAAATATTATTGCTCTAAGCATTCATTTGTAGGTTTTTGTGTGAACATAAATTTTTCTTTCTCTAGGATAAATACTAATAAGTGGGATTGCTGGGTCAAATCATGTTTAAAGTTTTAAGAAACTGCCAGACTATTTCCCCAGAGTTTCTCTACCATTTTGCATAACAATCAGTAATGTATGAAAGTTTTAATTGCTTCACATCCTTGTCAGTATTTGGTGGTGTAGTATTTTTTATTTTAGCCATTATGATAAGTTTAAAGTGGGATTTCATTGTTTTAATTTTCATTTTACTAGTGACTAATGATGTTGTGCATTTTTTCATGTGTTCATCCCCGCATACCCTGCTCCCACCCCAAACAATCCCACAGAAAAGTAGACGAAGAGTACTAGCAAAAGAGCAAATCCAATAGCCTATAAACTTGTTTTCAAAAGGCATATTCAAGAATAAGATGCAGAAAGTTTGAAAATAAGGGCAGGAGAAAAATATAACAGAAAAATGCTATAAAAGAAATGTAGGTTTAGCAATATTTAAATCAGTATAATTTAGGGAAAAAGTCTTTTAAAGGAACAAAGAAATATGTTTATTTATTTATTTATTTATTTATTTTTTATTTTTAAAAGATTTTTTTTTTAAATTGGGGAGTTGGGGGGATGGGAACAGTGCTGGGGAATTGGGGGAAGGGGAACAGACAAGTTGCTGTCATTTTTTGTTCTTCAGTCTAGTTGTGGAGGATGTTGCTTCACTGGCCCAAGTTGGCACCATCATTGCGCTCTTCCCGGGCGAGGCAGATCAGTCGCTGGCCTCTGGACAGCCGTTCACTGCGGCTACTGGCCGCTCACGCTGGCTGATGGCTACACACAGTAGCCCATGGCAACCCACTGCCACAGGGGCTGCAGCCTACGCCGTCACCTGCAACTCCCGGCAGCCCAGCTCCAGGTTGAGCTGTTGTTCAGCATCTTAGCTGTGGAGGGCAGTGTCACTGGCCCTCATGTGTGGGATCCGAACCGGAGCCCTCTGGCATCCCAAGCCAGTTCTTAACCATTGCGCCACTTGGCCGGCCCCGTTTATATTTTAAAAGATGCGAACCATGAACGTTTTATTATTCACCAACATACCTCCAAACTACATTTAAAAAGACTAATAGAAATTAAAGGTGAAATTTGCAGTCACAAATCAACTGATCAGGTGGTCAAAAAAATGAAGATATAGAATGTGCCAGTAACACAGTCAGATTGATCTAATTTACATGCATACCCAACAGACAACATACTTCTCCCCCACCAAACGCACACTGTAATATTCACAAAAACAGACCATTATTTAGATCATAAAGACTATTTAAACAAATTTCCAAAAGCATACATCATGAAGGCCATATTTACTGACAGTGCAATAAAATTAGAAATTT